GTTTCTTTATAAGAAATACTCTTTGGGTAGAATTTTGTAGCACTTTGTTGTTTTTATACCTTTTTGCCACCTAATTGATGGGATTTTTTCACATATGGAGGTTTTTATTTTTATTTTTGAAGTAATTTTTAATTTGATTTTTTTTGGCTGTTGTGTTGGTTGTGGAGTCTCCATTGCCTGCAAGTTAAGTTTCTTCTGTTTGAACCAACCTTGAAGCTTTTCTTTCTTTTTCATGCAAGAGAGTTACTACTCTCCCACTCCCCACACCTAACTCTTAAAACATTGATTAGTGTAAAAATGCATGGATTATTTCTCCATAATAATTGATAATAAATTGCTAATGATCAGCTTAATCTGAGGTTCTCTTTTACAGAAAATGATAACAAGGTGTTGGGAGCAGATTTTTTTTTGGGTTTAGCTCTTTGCTATTATTGATTGATTAGTCTTCTTTCTTAGGGGTGAGCAAAACTGAGGCGAAACTAAAAAACCGCACCAAATTGAACTATTCGGTGCGGTTATTAGTAACATAAAGGGTTTTCTTACTAATAATTCCTTACAGAAAATGCGTACTATGGCTTTATTTCATTTGATTATTCGTGTTTATTCCCATTATTATTTTGCCTCAACTTCGGAATATTCGGAGCAAAGACCAGAATTCCTTTCGTTGGACTGAACTTCGCTTCGAAAAGTTTGTATCGTATCTTCTCCTGGCAACGTCGAGACTCTGCAGAGCTAACTATTAAGAGGCTGGAATTTCGACCCGAATAGCAAATAAAAAACAAAACGGAAACTAAGAACAAGTTCAGGGCGACGTTGAGGACGATTCCGCAGCACGGTTGGTTATTAGCGGCATCCCGAAAACGTCCGGGTTGAAATATGGCTTTCAAATTAAGTTCCGAATTAGAGGAAGATTAATATTGTTTTTTATATTATTGATTATTACAGTACGACATGTAAAATCTATATAAAAAATATTGTTGTCTACCAATTAGACGACTTAACGACAATATTATTATTGTATTTTACATTATAATTCATTTCATATTCCATATTTCCACCTTTTTTTTTTTTTAATATTTCATCTCTCAGAGCCTCAGACATCAGTTGCGAAGGTTGACGTTCATTTTCGCCAATTCGACTATCAAAGCAGTAGCATGTTATTTAGGGCGTTATTACTGTTTTAGTGGTGATTCAAAGTGAAAGTAGAGATGATATGAACGGGCAAATTGATGTGTGCGCAGGGGTTTTTGTTGACGTAGCGAAAACGTACTAAAGGAAAACCAATAGATAAAACTCTGAAAAATATATTCTTATTTCATAAAACCATTAGACAAAAAGAGAAGGGGTTCTCATAATAAAAAAATTCTATGGAGTCATCAGATGGTTTTCTTAATGTATTGACACCTGTACAATGTTTATTTATTGTAGGACACATGTCAATACACTATTTGTGAATAACTATGGATACTTCATAAGCCAAACCATCTAATAGCTTCACAGCAAAATTGTCTCTTAAATAGAGCTTAAGAGTCGTAACATTTCTAATAAGTAAAAGTTAATTAAATGTCATTCCTACCAAATAGAAAGACTAGAATAATTAAAATACTAACAATAAATAAAAGGAATCTATACTTATATTAAAGGCCATACTATTTATTAAAAATAGTAGCAAAAAAAGTCAACTCACATTTAATGCATACTTTATTTAGAAATATTTTACTATATGCATTAATTGCTTGCATATATACATTTCCTATTCAAATATGATCAAAAAAATTCTTTCCTTAAATAATTTTATTAACTTATGCAATGATTTTACTGATATATTATAATTCATATTTGTCGATAGTATTTTTAATTTTTATTTGAGTATATAAAAAACAAATATTTTTTAAATTTAATATTTTATTTACCATTTAAAAGATAATGATCACATCATTAAATTATATTACTGATGGCTAGATAATAAATTAAAATACATTAATTATTCTTTAAAATCTTGGCATGTTATTTATTTGTATCTATACTTATTATGTAAGGTATCTTATTTACCAAATTTAGTAGAT